GGAGGGGGAAATTTGCCATAAGTGTCTTTGATAAATGCCTCATTTCTCAGATATAAAGGAAGCTAAGGCAAATTTACAAAAATAAGAGCCATTTCTGTGTTGATAAATGGTTGAAGGATATGAACAGGCAATTTTCAGAAGAAATCAAAGGTATCAAGTCACATGAAAAAATGTTCTCAATCACTACTGATTAGAGAAATGCAAATTAAAACAACTCTGATTTACCACCTCACACCTATCAGTTGGCTAACATGACAGAAAAGGAATATGACAAATACTGGAGGGGATGTGGAAAAATTGGGACAATAATGCACTGTTAGTGGAGTTGTAAATTAGTCCAACCATTCTGGAAAATGGATTATAAAACCATGTATATCCTTTGTCCCGGCAATACCACTACTAAGTCTATATCCCAAAGAGATCAAAAAAAGGGAAAAGGACTTATTTGCACCAAAGTATTTATAGAAGATCTTTTTTTGTGTGTGTGGTGTCAAAGAATTAGAAATCGAGGGAATGCCCATCAAGTGAGGAATGGCTGAACAATTTGTGGTATATGATTGAAATGGAATACTATTATGGTATAAGAAATGATTAGCAGGATGCTTTCAGAAAAATCTAGACTTACATGAACTGATGCAAAGTGAAATGAGTAGAACCAAGCGAACATTGTAGACTGTAACACCAATACTGTAAGGATAATCAGCTGTGAAAGACTTACTCACTCTGATCAACACCATGATCCAAGACAATTCCAAAGGACTTAAGATGAAAAATGCTATCCACCTCCAGAGAGAGAATTGACGAACTCTTAAGTGCCGACTGAAGCATACTTCTTTCCACTATCTTCATTGTTTTGTTTTCTTTGGCAACATGGTTAATATGAAAATATATTTACATGCCCTCACATGTATAATAGAAATTAAATTGCCTGCCTTCTCAGGGAGAGGGGAAGGAGGGAGGGAGAGAATTTGGAATTCAAAATTTTTCAAAATGATCGTAAACTTTTGTTATATGTAATTGGGAAATATTTAATGAAATAGAAATCATTTAAAAATTTAAAAAAATCTTTTTAAAATGAACTATTCTCTCATCAATTTTTAAAGCCCAAGTATAGAGCTTTTTGTTTATTCCTAGTAAATTCAGTCTTATTTAATTCCGATTAGAGCACTGAGCGTCAAGTCAGGAAGACAGGAGCTCATATTCAACCTCAGACACTTGTTAACTACGCGACTCGGTCAGGTCACTTAAATATTTCAATTTCTTTGACTATAAAATGGGGATGATAATAGCACCTCCCTCCCAGGGTTGTCCCGAGGATAAAATAAAATAATATTTGTAAAGTGCTTGGTACAGTGCCTGGCACAAAGTAAATGCTTAATAAATGCTAGCGAGTTGACTTTCTTTCTTCCTTTTAGGAGCTTTTTGCATTTGGATTAGGTCCTCCAAGCGTTAGTTATCTTTCCAACTTCATATTGCATGCAAATTTCATCCGAGTCAGTAATGAAAATGTTGAACACTATAGAGCTAGGGACAAATTCAAGTCAACCTCCTTTTTTCCCAAGCTGACATTAACCCACTAATGACTGCTTTTTAGCCATCGTATCACAAGGACAAAGCTAGAGGCGACACTATGTGCTGGTTAGTCCAACCCCCTCATTTTACAGATGAGGAAACTGAGGCCTTTGGAGGTTAAATGACTTGCTCAAGGTCATACAGCTTGTAGTCACAAAGGTGCCATTTAAACCAGGTCTTTTGACTCCAAATCCACTGCCCTTTCCAACATATCATTCTCTTTCTGGTCATTCAACCAGTCCCAAATTTATATAACGGTGTTTTCTGTGTGTACTCATTCCCATCTCTTTCCAAGTTACCCACAAGCATGGCATGATAGACTTTGTCAAATGTTTGGATAGTCTAAACAGACTATGTCTACAACATTTTTTGATCTGCCACTCTAGTTACACTATAAAAAGAAGGAAATGGAGTTAGCCTGGCATGATTTTTTTCTTTTGAGCAAGCTATGTTGGCTTTTAGTAATCATGGCTTCTCTTCCTAAGAGCTCACAAACTTTCACCTTAATAATGTATTCTAGAAATTTGTCAGAAATGGACATCAGACTCACTGGTCTGTAGTTTATGGCCTTTCTCCTCTATGCTTTTGGGAAGACTGGGACACTTGCCTTTCTCCAGTCCTTTGGCAACTTCCCCATTTACCAGGATCCTTCAACAATTACTCAGGGATCACGGCTGCTTCTGTGGGGTAGTTTATCTAGGCCTGATAAGATTCAGCTTCATGCACTCGAGAGTACCGGAGTTGGAGTCAGAGAAAATGGATTTGAATCCTGGCCTGGCTCTGCTTTTTACTAGCTTTACTAGCTTGGGCAAAGCCCTCAAATCACGATGGGCCTCAATTTCCTCATCTGAAAATGAGAATATTGGGTTAAATAATCTCTAAAGTCCCTTCCAGATTCATGTCTAGAGCTGAAAGTCAACTAGATCAACCCACTCAATTTTCTGGATCAGTTAACTTAGGCCCAGAGAGGGTCAGTCTCTTTACCTACAAGAACAAGGCTTAAACCTAACTCCTCTGACTCCAGGTCCAGCATTCTTTTCATCATATTCCTTGTTGAGTCTATGATTCCATGACTTGAACTCATGGAGGGGTAGCTTGAGGTGGCCTGACCATCTTCTCCCTGATCTTGGGTTTCCAAAACTGCTAACCAGTTTTGTTCAATCCTTCCTAGCCGAAAAAATGAGTCTTCTTGGAAGATAAAATACAAGTAAAATTAGGATTCACTAGGATCAAAGTAGATTTAGACCTGGAAAGAACTGAAGAAGTCATCTAGTCTCACCTTTTCATTTGAGGTTCAAAGAGGTTAAATGACTTGTCAATGGTCACCTTGGTAGTAAGTGGCAGAGTCAGAATTCAAACCAAGGTCCTCCGACCCCAAATTCCATGCTAGTTCATCTTTCTCATAGGTGTCCATCATCATCCTATCCATGTTAAGCATTGGTCCTAACATTTTTTTTTCATCTTGCCCCCAACATAGTTAAAGAGAACCCGTTTTGTTGTCCTTGTTCATTACCAGCCCTGGGTCATTCTGGGCTTTAGCAGTGATACTTCTCATGTATCCATTCTCCAATAGTGGCTTTTGTTTCCATCTTCTATCCATTTTTAAAAATGTAATTTAACTTAAAAATATTTTATTTTTTCCAATTACATGTAAAATAATTTTTGACACTTGCTTTTAAAAAATTTGAGTTCCAAATTCTTTCTCTCCCTTCTTGTCCTCCCTCCTCGAGACAGGAGGTAATTTGACATATGCTATATACATGCAATCATGTGAAACATATTTCCATATTAGCCATGTTATAAGATAAAAAACACAGACCAAAAAAAGAAAAACCAAGAAAAATAAAGTTTAAAAAAAGTATGCTTTGATCTGCATTCAAACTCCATCAATTCTTTTTCTAAAGATGAATAGCATTTTTCATCACAAGTCCTTTGGAATTGTCTTAGATCATTGTATTACTAGGAACAGCTAAGTCATTCATAATTGATCATCATATGATATTGTTACTGTGTACAATGTTCTCCTGGTTCTGCTCACTTCACTTTGCTTCAGTTCATGTGAGTCTTCCCAGGTTTTTCTGAAAGCATCCTGCTTGTCATTTCTTATAGCACAGTAGTATTCCATCACAATTATACACTACAAATTGTTCAGTATTCCCCACTTGGTGGGCATCCCCTCAATTTCTAATTCTTTGCCACAACAAAAAAAAAGCTGCTATAAATAGTTTTGTACATATAGGTTTTTTCCTTTTTTTTTTTATTTCTTTGGTATACAGACCTAGTCCTGGCATTTACCCATGTCTTTCAGAAATCTGATTTTGTCAATTGGTTTCCTGTGTATTGATCTCTTTAGGCAGCTTTTTCCCACCCTCCTCATCTCAGTAATTTCTGCTTATACCTTCTAAATTTCATTCTTGAGATCTTCTTACTGCTCTTAGAATGAATTCCCCTGGAAAATAATAAGCCATTGGGTCCTACCTCTCCCTCTTCTAAAACCTTGGGGGAGGGGAGAGGGAGAGGGGGAGAGAGAGAGAGAGAGAGAGAGAGAGAGAGAGAGAGAGAGAGAGAGAGAGAGAGGTACATGTCACAAAGTACTTGGCCCCAAGGTTCTTGCTGTTTCTGCTAAAGCAACTAATTTCTTCATATTTGTCTGAATCCAGTACAGGTACTAGTCCCCCTTGCCACTTCTCCCATCTTGCAAAGGATGAAATCACCATTCAGATAAGTCATAAATACCTCAGCTGTCCTGCTTTTGGCAGGCAGAACTCACCAGTGAATGTCTGCACAGTCAAGTCTGCATCACCGCAATATCCCGTTTCCCTACCAGATTTGTTACCTTAACTCTTCACCTAATTTCTCCTTCTGTGCAAGTGGTCTACTTCTTCCACATCCATTCAACTCTAACCTAAAAGTTCCCCAATAGGTTTCTCCTCTCAGGTGACTAGGTTTCCCTTTATGAACACATATTCTTAACATATAATACTATTTCCCTCCCTCCCTTTTATTCTGTTCCTGCTAAATAAAATATGCCTTCTATAGTCAATTAGTCATAAGTCCCATATCCCACCGAGTTTCAGTGATAATTAGAAGTCACATATACTCCCTTGCTTTATGATTTCCATCTAGTTTACCCTGCTTGTTACTTAAGCTTAGTACATTTGTTTATAGACACTTAAGACATGGATTTCCCTGGTTCTCTTTAGTATATACACATACAAATAAAGTAAATAAAAGAGTAGGCAAAGGAAAAATATAAACATTGAATGTATTCAGGTCTTTTGACTCCAAATAAAGTTCTCTTATTACTATGTTAGGCTGCCTCTCGTATGATTTAATCATATTACATCTCTAAGCTAGTCAAAAGTGTAATCATTATTAATAGCATGCACAAGGTGTCTTATTTCCTTCAAGAAAACATTTCTGCTTACCTGACTCCTTCAGCAAAGCATGGTGGGGGAGTAAGGTTGCTGTCCTCAGCAAACCTATCTTTAGACCACACTCTTGTAGGTGAGGTTCGGTCTAGATGGGCAATGGCCGACAATGGGGTTGGTACTGGACCCCTGAAAGAGTAACCAGAAAAATTAGAAAAATTCTAATTTATCAGAACTCTACATTTTAATTCATGTTAATTCTAAAAATGATTAAAAGGATAAGAAAAGATTAAAGGTAATAATGAAAAGTAATAAGATTAAAGGTAATATAATAATAAAGTAATAAAAGATAAAAGGTAATAAAGCACATGCAAAACTATTATTATATACCCAAGAAAACAATAGGAAAATCTTTGAGGTATAATGCCATGCACTCATTTGTGAAAATGTCCTTTAGGGTTCATCTTTGACTAGTATCTTTATACTTACAATAATTAGTGGATTAAGCGAGTTTGTAACACTAAGCAAATTTTTCTCATCCATTAAACTATTGCTTTCATTCTATCTTCTCTGAGATTAGTCTGTACTCCACAGTAGTTCTTTGAATATTCATTAAACAGATAGTGTTTTCAGTCCAACAGTTATTAAGCACCTACTGAAACTGAGGTACAGGTGCTATGCCATGGAAATACAAAAAAACAAAAACAAAGTACTCCCTGCCCTCAACCCTACATTGACAGTAGAGCAAGAGGAGGTGCAACATAAATACACCTAACAATAAGAAGAACTAGCATTTCTAGAGCGCTCTAAAGTTTGTAAAATACTTTAACAAATCTCATTTTATCCTCACCAGCAACCTCTAGGAAGTAGTTGTTATTATTAACCCCCTTTTACAAATGGGGAAACTGAGGAAGGCAGAGGGTATGTGAGTTGCTTGGGGTCACACAGGACCTACACTTCCTAGTATAGTACTAGGAAAATTGAAGAAGATTAGAATACTAATGGATGGATCAATCAGATGAGGCTTTATACAGGAGATGGCAACCCAGTTGACCTTTCAGAAAATATGTGGTTTCTGAGAGGTAGGAAGGAGGTGGCAGCATTCCAGGTATGGGAATGGCTTGTTTGAATGGAAAGAGTCAGAATGTGGAGTGTCAACTCTAGGGAGTAGTGTGTAACCCAGTTTGGCTGAGACACAGGGCTCATGAAGGGAGATAGTATGAAATAAGGCTCAAAAGGTTGAAGAAGGCCTTGAATGCCAAGACAAGGCAAGCAGCATTTTTGCTATTTGATATCATTATTATAATTAATAATAACAAAAACATTAATAATAAACATAGGTACAATGTCCATTGGGTTAACTCCTAAATGAATAGTAAAATATATGGTCCAATTGGCCTAAAATCTAATGGTACAAAAATAATACTCAATGTAGATATTTTCAAAGAGCTATGACTATGCAATTTTCTCAAGTAATAAAAATTCCTTTAATTTCTAAATTAGTAGTCCTGCAAGACGTTAGATAAGTAGTTCTTAATCAAAAAATTCTTTATTTTAGCAGAATGATTCTCTTCTCAGTTCTTCAAACCATCTCTGAATTCTTATTATATTCAACTCTCTTCTGCATAGCTATTTTCTATATACAATCCAGGGACAAATTCTATTAAGCCAATTATTTCATATCAGAGGTTCTGAGATATGTCCTCAAATCTCTTTGATCAAATTCATTTTAAAGATCTGCTCAAACAACACAAGGAAATAATTGCAGAGCTGTCACTAGAAACCAGTTCCCTGGATTCCCAGTTGGCTACTCTTCGTATTAACCATCCAATGCCCAGCAGTAAGAGCATAATGGGCTTGAGCAATGCTTCTAACTCTGAGGAGCCAAGGAAAAAGGAATACAAGGCATTCACAAGTCAGAAAAGTCCATGAATGTCTTATACACACAAACACATGATGCACAAGCAAATTAGATGGTTCTTGATGCTTGCAAAAACACTTAGATTTGATGTTTACTTTATCCCCCAAAGCAGCTAGGTATTATGGTAGCTTTTATGATGTGAAACTTTTTCATAGCATCATTCCACCCCACCCCCCCTCACCTAAAGCAACTCCAGCTACTGAACACCTGGAAAAGAAAGTTCTCACCCCAAAGTCCTCGGCACTGTCAAATGGTTCAACATGAGAACTAGATATGGTTTTATCAGTGGAAATAACATTAAAGAAGAGGCATTGCTGTCTGCTTTGCTAGTGCATCCTAAGGCCTAGTGGTCCTTCCTATCGGACTGAATAGCTAAAGTCTTCTATATGTGTTTTCTTCTGCTAGCAGTTTGAGCACCCCAAAGAGCTGAGCAGCTAGGTGACACAATGGATAGAGCACCGCCTCAGACACTTACTAGCTGTGTGACCCTGGGCAAGTCATTTCACCCTGTTTGCCTCAGTCTCCTCATCTGTAAAATGAGCTGGAGAAGGAAGTGACAAACCACTCCAATATCTTTGTCAAGAAAATGCAAAAGTGGTCGTGAAAAGTAGGACACGTCTGAAATGACTGAACCACAAATAACAAACCCCAGAGAACAGGACAGTCTTGCTTTTCTGTTTCTACCTTCAGGACTTTGCACATAGTAAGTCCTTGGTGAATGCATTTTCATTCATTGAATTCTTTTATTCATTTATATGCTTTAAACTTAAGGTAAATTGCTTGTTTCATCCTTCCTCTGACCATTGTTTTCTTTGAGCAGCTAAGGAGGGCAGCGCACATGTTGGTTAAAGTCTTGCCCTTGTTTTCATACCTCTAGAACAGTGACTATACCATTTTTGCCCTTCAACTTTTCCGAGACTTCCTTTGGTCAAAATGGTATAGGAAAAGAAAAATATAAATATTTCAAATCCATCTTCCACCCTGGTTATAAATATTGGATTCAATTTAAAGCCTCAACTTTCATCTTTAAATTCAAAGGAAGAGAACCACACACTTATCTTAGGGACTCTTGCTTACTAGTCAAAAAGACACACTTTCTTTATATATCATAACACCAGCAGTGAGATCAGCAGATGCCAGTCTGACTGACGGTCTTTGAGGATTCCTTTGATGAGTTAATGGTAGTGGAACATGAAAATTAAATTTCTCCTCACACTATCCTAACCTTTCATCTAGCATTGATTTTTATTTTCCTTGCATGATACACTATCATCCACTCCTTTCTCCCAATTAGAACTCCCCTAAGATTGCCTAAAATGCTAGGCTTCCTTCTATAGCATTCTGTAATCTTTCATCAGGTCTTTGTCTCTAGGCACTTCATCTACTTTAGGTTACTGTCTATGGCTTCCCTATTCTCTTCTGACCTTCTAATTTCAGCCAACTCATATTATTCCCATGTAAAGTACTGCCCCCTTTCATGCATTGCAGTATACCATTATCCATCAACTCATATATTACTCTTTCCAGTGAAGGATATAGCTGAGAAACAAAATCACAAAATTATTTGGGGATAATGAGAAATTACATATTATTTGTGTTATGAGTGATTGAACTGTGGATTTTGTTCTTTTTTCTTTCAACCTGAGTGAGAGAAGGATCAGTCCTCATGAGGAAGCCATGATGTGAGGCATTAGAAGCTCTAGGAGATGAGAAAAGGAGATGATACAGCAGCTGCCTGAAGAGAAAAACTAATGGCAGAGACTCCCTCTCGCCACTAGCCCACAGTGTTTGAAAGAAGCAGAATGGAGAATCGGAAGATAAGAAGAGCTGATTTGGGCAGAGCCCACTGACAGAGCCAAAAAGTCAAGCAGCTACTTCGATCTGCTTGGGGCTGGGAGGGTAGCTCTGTGCTGACTACAAACTGATTGAAAGAAAGCAGAAACTTCACCTGTGTGAAACTTTTTGTCCACTGGCACCTTCTACAGCCAGAGGGAGGGAAAAGCACTCAGGGACTCACCAGCTTTGCCCTCTATAACTCCAGAGGAAGAAGCAGAGTAGGGAAGGAAAGGCTTTGCATCTGCTTTACTGTAAGCTATAGCAATGCACTGTTTTGCTATGAAATGATTGCAGAAAACAGATCAGGCTAGGGAGAGGCTGCATTGCTTGATAGTACTACAGCTTGAGAGAGGGGAATCTGTCCACATGTCCTCTTGAAAAGGGGAAACCCCCTTATAGCCCACAGAGAAAAGACTGGATTTGGTTGGCAGGTTTCAGACTTAAGGAAAGTGATTTGACCTTAACACTACTTTAGCAGCCCAGAGTGGCTAAGAATCGACTGTGTCCAGCAAGCGAGTGAAAAAGCTCAGAAGTGGATGAGTAGTATAGATGTTTCACAAAAAAGACTTGTAGACCAGAGTTGTGAGTTGCCCTCATGGGTTGCACATGGGTAGCCCTACTCAGGTTCCTTATTGAAAGATTTCTGTGTGTGCCTACTCTCTCCCATAAACACACACACACACACACACACACACACACACACACACACACAAAGGGTTACCTGTAGGACTCTGAGAGAAAGTTGTAGCAGTATGTGGCCATGGCCAACTACCTTCTCAGAAACTCTCCTCTCCCCTAGACCTATCAACATGAGTGCAGGGCAGGGTGAGTGAGCCAACTAAAAAAGTAGGAAAAGAGAGGTGCAAGTGCCATTTAGAATCATGCCTATAGCCAACTGTCCACATGAACAGGTGGGCACCATGCTTGGGCTATCACTACATTTCCTTTCTTTGATTTTAGACTTCTATGCAAATACCACAATACAACTTTGCTTGTTACTGCATAAAGCTGGACAGAGTAAATCATTTAGGGGTGATATTTAACCAACAGTGAAGCACAAATTCATGACTAGTCTCTTATTAGACAAGCTAACATGGAACATCATCAGCCATATGCCATAGTCATATATGACTTAAGGCTTCCACATTGTACCGGTTACTAGCCAAAGGTATTTTTAGACTGTAGTCAAGGGGGTTATGGAAGTCACAGGTCTGACACATTCTCTAGGGGAGGCAGGGATCTTCTAATGTTCCTCTCTTCTCTTTTCCCTCCTTTGGGAGTCATGGATTCTAAGTACTTGTCGCAGAGCTACCACCAACTAGCTAAATGACCCTGGATAAAATCTACCATCTTGGAACTCAAAAAGACATTAGAGATCATCAGTATGGTAGAGTTAAAAGAGCACTGGTTTTGGAATCAGATGACCTGGGTT